AAAGCATTAGAGCTCCAGACTGTTTCAGAAATAATCGTTGATGTGGTTTGGAACATTTGACATCTATAATATATGCCTAAAAATAATAGGAGAACTTTAAAACCCATGGTAGCAAATCTGTCCATCAATTACAAATACAGATGTTATGGTTTATTAATGTCTCTCTGACTGTTTCATTGTGTTACTCGTCAGGTAAACTGCCATAATGATGTCATCCAGCTGTTGTTGGATATGGGTGCTGACATTGACAAGATAAACTGTGAAGGAATGTCTGCCCTGGCTGTGTGTCATGTCCTCTACTACCCCTTCCAGTCTCTTCACAACACTTTGGTTGAACCACAAGCCAAAACCCAAGTAATATTTAACATAATGTCGTTTTTTTGTTTTACCTCTTAACTTCTGGATCCACGTTTTTGTCCAGACAAGTAAAAAACATCATGCGCTGTAATTCTTCATCAGGTTTCGAGGTCTGCTTCTGCATGTGGGAGCAGTCCCCAGATCAGCCAAGTGGACTTCCTTACTGACACACCAAGGTTTAACAACAAACAAACCTAGAACTATTTCCTTTTACTCTTTCCAGAGGCCAACAAGAAAGCGCTGCAATAATCTAATTAATTTGAAGAAAAATAATGGACGTTTTTCTGCACCTTTATAGTATTCGATTGGCGGTTGTGTCTCAAATACAAAATAATGTGTTCCTTTATGTTTTGATCTCTTTCAGGACAGAAGAACTAACAGAGCACATTTTACACCACAGCAGTGACGTGTCTAATAGCAGTAAGCTCATCACTGAGCGCTGGCCTGGCCTAGATGAACCTGAGACAGACACTGAACACCTAAAGGAGGAGAGGAAAGAAAAAGAGGGAGAGGATACAGAAAGAGAGAGAGAAAGAGAAGAAATGAGCTGCAGGGAGGATGAGAATGAGAGCAAAGGGGAGGAAAGAGAGGATACAGAAAGAGAGGGAAGGGAGAGAGAAAGAGAAGAAATGAGCTGCAGGGAGGATGAGAATGAGAGCAAAGGGGAGGAAAGAGAGGATACAGAAAGAGAGGAGAGAAAGAGAAGAAATGAGCTGCAGGGAGGATGAGAATGAGAGCAAAGGGGAGGAAAGAGAGGATACAGAAAGAGAGGGAAGGGAGAGAGAAAGAGAGGAAATGAGCTGCAGGGAGGATGAGAATGAGAGCAAAGGGGAGGAAAGAGAGGATACAGAAAGAGAGGGAAGGGAGAGAGAAAGAGAGGAAATGAGCTGCAGGGAGGACGAGAATGAGAGCAAAGGGGAGGAAAGAGAGATAGAGAGCAGATGTGGTCAAACTTGGGAAATTGAAGAAAGCGAGTTAGAGGGTAAGGAAAGAGAATTTAAGAAGAGAGAGGAAGATGTTGGACTTGTTGAGAGGAGAGAAACAGAGGCAGGAGATGAGAATATTGAGGAAGACCTGGAAGAGGAAGTAAGGAGTAATCATGAAGAGGATATAAAGGAGGAAGGGGAGAGAGGAAGTGAGGATGTGGACGGTGTGGAGCGCTCCATTCAGGTGATGGATGGTGGCATCGCACTGGGCAGCGTAAAGTGGACAGAACATCGAGCAGGAAGAGTTCAGGTATGAAGCACAACAATCCCATAGTGTAATTGGTTTGAAAATATGTTTAATTTATGTTTGCTTAATTCTCTGGCTGCAGCAGGTCAAAGACAGAGAAGTGACCTCAACCTTTGACTCGGCCTGCTCCGTCAGCAGCTTTAGAATCCAGGTGACGGAGGAAGCGATGCAGCACTCAGCAGAGGCGCTGAGTCGCACAGGGGTCCCTCAGAGCTCTGATACTCAGGAGACTGTGCGCAAAATGGCCGCCATGAAAACTGAGTCAGTTCTGTTTCCACTCCGTCTTCTTCTTCCCATGCTGTTTGTTCTGTTTAACACTGTTTATGTCTATCTAAACAGACACCGTGTTCGTCTGAATATCCTGAAGCTGTTATTGGAGCGTGGAGCTGACCCTAACACATCCAGGGTCCCCATGCCTGTCCTCTTTTTAGCCATTATGGCGTCTGACACTGAGGCCGTCAGGAGACTGCTGCTGTGTGGAGCTCGCATGGACATTCCCCTACCACCAAAGGTAGGAACATATCATATTAGGGATGCATGATATATATTGGGCTGATAAATTATCGGCAAATACTAGGAAATTAATATTATCAGTCATATTCCGACAATGAAATTATGGCCAAGAAATTGTTTGCACCAGTGTGGGCATTTCAGAATATAAGAGTCAGTATTGGCAAAACTGACGAAAAAAGGTGGTATAAACTACAAGTTATGAACTTAATAATAAAATACAAACTTATCTTATCAGTATTGGCGTTGAGAAGCATGTTGTTTTTCGGTTATTAACATCTGCTGAAAACTCAATGTCGATAACCCCTGTTATTTTCTATTTACAAACATACCCAAGTCAAATAATACCAATTGTTGCGCCACAGAGAAAACAAATGAGTGATATCTCAAATCTCAAACAAATTATAAAACATAAAATGAGAGCGTTTTTGTTGCTCTCTTCCCTCCTTTAACCCTTTATACATGGTTTCAATTAAGCATTATATTCTGGTCATCCTTCTGTAGAGGAAGGGTCTGTATCCCCTGCATGTAGCTGCTGCACTGCCGGGTCCAGCAGGTCCCAGAATCACAGAGCTGCTGCTCCATGCCATCACTGACCCAGACGCACAGGCATGCGACCAGAGCGAGATCTATGAACAAGATAAGGTGTGTTTTTGTCTTTTCAGCCTATTCAAGTCCTTAAATTGTTAAATGTTTATGGTGATAGTTAAACTGGTGAGAAAAGAGTTTCAGACTGAGGTTGTTTTTACAGATTTTACAGAAAGCGAAGGAGGCACTGAGCAGCAGTGAGGGTCCACATCTCAAAGAAGGAGGCCGTACGGCCCTGCACGTGGCCTGCCAGAGAGACGCTGACTATCGGGTCAGTACATACACCTGCTCACACCTATTTCAACAGAATGACTTTCAATGTTACTGGAAAAATTCAGACGGTTCAAGACAGTTTAATATTTTTTGGCTGTTTCTAAAAAATTAAGAAGTTCAGGATATAACAACTTTCACATGGTTTGCTCTGTAATGAAAATTGTGCTATTAAAGGCGTTTAAAATGTGATCTTTAAGAAAAGTAATCCTGTAATTAAGTATTTTTATCCTTGATAAGCAGATGTTTTGAGGTATAGGGTGAAGTGTTTTATAGACTGCAAGATCGCGACCCGGGGTTATTAGGTCACCTATTTGTGGAAATCTCCTTCAGTGTATACATCTTGGGTTTTAGTGATTTATAGCAGGTTCCTGGTCGAGGGGGGGCTATTCTTTTAACTCTTAAAAAAAGTTGTAAAACACTATTCATGCAAGCATTAAAAGATCTTAGGAAAGTTAATAAACTAATACTGTGTTTTGTGCATTTGTTGCCTTATTCAACCATCTCTGGACAGAAACTGATTCTAAGTTGCTACGACAGCTCACAATGATATCAGGTTACATTTAAAGGACCTTTGTATTTTTTTTGTTGCAGAATGCCAGTAAAGTGGTAGCCCTCCTGCTGTCCCACAGAGCCAGCACTGACCTCCTTTGGAGCGGACACTCCCCTCTTTCCCTGGCTATAGCAAGTGGCAATGACCTGGTAGATTACATTACATTACATTTTTTAGACGCTTTTATCCAAAGCGACTTACATACATTCAGTACTGTGGACAATCCCCACAGGAGCAATTTGGGGTGAAGTGTCTAGATCCCAAAGACACTCACCTTGTGGTATAACCGGCAAGAGAGAAAGGCTTTGAGCTCCATACTGTTTCAGAAATAATCCTTGATAATCCATGATATGGCGTTTCATCATGGCAGTATCTGCCGGTAGAATCTCCCGCATGAGCAGGCATAAGCTCCGCCCCTCTTACAGGAGCAATTTGGGGTGAAGTGTCTAGATCCCAAAGACACTCACCTTGTGGTATAACCGGCAAGAGAGAAAGGCTTTGAGCTCCATACTGTTTCAGAAATAATCATCCTTGTGTTTCATCACCGCAGCATTTTNGCACTTTTGAAACAGGAAATGAAATAGAGGGATATGAGGCATGGCTAGAATGGGTGATCTGTTTGGTATTTTGAGAAAAACACTTCATAGACATGTTTTCTATATATTTGTATATATCTGAGACCTATGCTATTGCCTAAAAATAGCATGATAGGTGCATTTTTAAAGGTTATACTGTATATAAGGCCCTAAAGCAACTGCTCGATTATCTGTATCAAATGCACACATTGGTGCCACCAAATGACACAATAAAAATAGAAAGTGCTAAAAATAAACTGGAATTAATTTACATCTTAAATTATTAATATATACACAAAAAAAGGCTTTCAAATATCCAACCTTCAAATTGCTATTTTAAATCCACATCGCTCTGCACACTTGCTAAAGAAAAAGTTTTTGTGGAAATCTCAGTTCGTATGGCCAAAGGTATGGGAGTAAATATCACTGTAAACTATTTAATCGTCACCAAATTCGGTGTTATTATGACCGATCATAATTCCGCTTTATGCTGACATACATTTAGCATGGTTTAGGAAACAGGCTCCGTGTTACAGGACAGGTCAGGTGGTTTGGCAGCACCGCTGTAGACTCTCTGCACGGAGGAGCAGAGGTGTCCGGGCGATGCAGAGACACGCGTTCACTAAGCCGAAAAAATGATATCCAGTCACAGAGATCTGCTATTTTAAAGTAAAATCAACACATATCGACCCTAAATATAGTCTATATTAAGAACGAGAAAAGTTTTAACATATCATTTTTTGTAAACATATGACAAATGTGCGAGGGGGATGCCATCAGAGCATCGTCCTATGCGCCGGGGCCGAGCCCTGGACAGCCCCGGCCAAATGTACCCCCGCCTATACTGTATTTCACAGTCCTTCAAAACCTCACTTTGTCTTGAGCCTGTTCCTTTTCCCTGCCCAGGCAGTGGAGGAGCTGTTGAAGGGAGGTGCAGATCCCAACATCCCGCTGGGCCGCAGGGTGGGCAGCGCCCTCTGTGCCCTCGCCAACATCAAGTACCACTTAGGTGGCAACAGAGCCAAACTGGTACACACACAAGCACAGATACACACACACATAGTTGTATGTAGATCAACACGTCTGAGATAGGTAAGAAAAGAAGCTCCAGCAGGCTTTCAGCACTTACACTCCATTTATTTTAGCAGCTGTCTTTTAGAGAATGGACATTTGTCAGGCATTTACACATTTCCAAAAGAAGGTGCCTAAATACTGTATAGTGACCATGTTGACTTGTTTATGTATGCAATTGTTTGTATATGACTATGACTTTAAAACACCCAGATCCAGATTAATCTTCCAATTACAGTATTTGTGACTAAAAAAACACGGGTCACTGTTGGTTCTTGGCGCTTAAAATAAGTGACATTACTTTAACTCAAAAACCGTTATTGATAGCAGTTATATCCCTCAATATTACATTTTCAAGAAAGTTAGAAAAGAAATAGGATCTTCTTCTATCTCTTATTCTAAGTTTTATTTATGAGTCATTTCAAAGTATATATACTGTAGGTAATTTGTGTGTGTGCCTATGTTTTGATGAAGCTGGAGATGTTAGCTCAGGCAGGTGCCGACATCTTGATGCCCGTTATGGTGGGGGATGTTGTTGGAACCGCAGTGGACTTTGCACACTACTCCTTCAACCAGGTAATTCAATGCAATCTTTATCTCAGACTCAAGGTCCATATCACATACAAAAAGACAAGACACACATCAATAAATAAGATAAAAAGCTAAACACAAAACAACTTGTAACACCAACTTTAAGCATTTTAGTCAAATAACTTATCAGCCACATCATAGACTTAATGCAACATTAATGCACACAATGTATACAATATCTTGTTTTTCATTACTACACATATTTTATACCAATTCTACTTCAACCATATTCAATGTAAATACTGCTATATTTTAATATATTGTTTTATATGTTTTAATGTTATTATAGTTTTCTCTAAATAGTTTTCTATCTGTGTTTTAGTTTCACTTTTATGTATGCACAACACCAAGTCAAGTTCCTCGTATGTGTTAACCTATCTGGTAATAAACCCATTTCTGATTCTGATTCTGATACCAAAGCTTGTAATAAATTACATTTATATCAATTTAAGGATTTGTTTTGCTAAGACTATCAGGGAAATGCATAACTGTAACTTTCTGGGTCTGTTTTAAGCCGCAGTGTTAGACTTGTAATGGATCTTATTACATAGATAGGTGTTTTAATATGTTTGCCCCACTAATGTATTTCAATGGAGTTGGACACAGAAAGATTAAAATCAAGTTATTTTTAAGTCGTTTTAACCCAATGTTGTTACCACTTAGGACTTGCGTATTGCCAACACTCCCTTCCACGCTCTGAGCATGCGGGAGAGAGAAACATTCAAAACACGGCGCCAACTGCTGAGCATGATGGGAGATCTGCTGAGACAGACTGCTGCACAGAGAGAGATGGAACACCATGCAACGAATAGTCAGTACGATGTCAAAAAAACTATTTTGTGTTTTAAAAAAAAAATTAAATCATAATGTATGTGTACTGTATTTGTTACAGTTATCAGTAGCACAGAGAGGTTTGTGCACACTGGGGCAGGTCCATCAAACGGGCACCTCCCCAGCTGTGAAAGTATACCACCCACAACAGTAACACACAGGTACCTGTTTACATACATTCATTTCCATTCTGTCCTATTTATTTTATTCTGATGTCATTTGAACATGTACTTTATCCATCCTTGAATACAATTATACTTAAGGGTCCCTTATTATAGTGTTTTTCATCAATATAATATAGGTCTCAGATATACACAAAACATGTCTCTGAAGTGTTTGGCACCAAACAGATCATGCATTGTAGCATCCCATAAACCCCTCTGTTTCAGCCCTGTTTCAAAAGTGCTGATTCTCTGTCTGTTACTTTAGATGAAAAATAAGGAGCCACTCCCCACTCCCCACTCCCCTCTGAGAGATATTTGGTTAAAAAGAACACAATGGTGCTCTAGGAGGAGATTCAGGTGATAAGGTTACCTTGGTTGATTTTTGGCTAATGGTTACACAACCCAAAAAAACATTATGACATCACAAAGTGGCATGTCATTGTGTCCCTGGGCAAGACACTTCCCCCCCAAAATTGCTCCTGTGGGGATTGCCCACAGTACTGAGTATGTAAGTCGCTTTGGATAAAAGCGTCTAACAAGTGACATGTAATGTAAATGGATCAGGACAAAAAGAGAGCAAATCTTTTTTCCTGAAACTTTCAGAATCTCTTTACACAGAGGGGACACCATTTTTATGTATAACAGACATGAAAAGTGGATTTTGCATAATAGGAGACCTTTAAGGAAACACAAATCCTTCAGGAGCCTGTTTGGAACTCTACCTGTGTGAATCTTTTCTCAGGAATCCTGCCTTTAACTTCTGCTATCACTGCGGTCGCTCTGTGTCTGTGAAGCTGACCGCGTGTAGCCGCTGCCACAACGTCTTCTACTGCTCCAGGAACTGCAAACTGAAAGCTTGGGATGAAAGACACAAGGAAGAGTGTATCCGGGTGTCAGGTGGGAATCATGGCCTCTCCATACAACAGTAGCATCCTTGCTAACCAAACAACACCAGCCACTAACCAAACCAAGACTCTACATTTTAATAAAATGACTATGTGCAGCCTTCGTCATAGTGTTTGAATCTATAGAATCTGTAGGATAATGTTGAATGTGTTTAATTTATCTTTTGGATGAACAGAGCATGTAAATACCTTGTCTATTTGTCTCTCTCAATCCAGCATCTGCTAATGGCTTCCAGAAGAGTGTTGTGTTAAAATCCCCAAGGGGCCCCAGGCCCTTGACTGCCATGTTGAAATCCAAAACTGTCCCCCGGCCCCTGAGTCTCAAGTTGAAATCCCACAGAGTCTCCAAGCCTCTGGGCATGGCAGAGAAGGTCTTGGAGAGCCAGGTCAACCTGAACGAAAACTACAGCTGCAACTGAAGGATACTAAAAGTGTAAAACTTAATAACAGCTTTTCTACCGAACATTGAAATGCATTTTGTTACATCATTATTTCTTTTCAGATTTTGAGCCTTATTATTTATTTAGCTGAATGGAATGAATTTATTTAAAAACATTTTGTGCCACAAGCATCTTCCTTTGGCATTTTTACACTTGTAGTTTTGCATCTGTTATTGTATTATTAAATAATGTAATGATTGGTGCACCTATCGCACAGATAGGTGCTATCGTCACAGAATGATTGAATTTGCATATTAAAACCAGTACCAGTAACTTTAATATAATAACTTTTTATCATGATTAAACTTTGTGACTAAAGCTATTACTGTTGATTTTTGTTTCAATAATATCCTCGGATTGATTTTGAATGAATAAGATAAGAATGTTGTGGTCTTCATAAGCCATTTCATTTATTTAGAAGAACAGAAGTACTAAGATTGTACTTTAATTATGACAGACAGTGGCAACTCTCTCACATTCAACGACAGCAGCTTAGTCAATATGCTAAAGTAGCAAAAACAAGCCTGACTAAATATGAATAACACCTGTTTTATTGACAAAAAAAGCACTATATCAGTTATACTCTTATATTGTATGCTCTATCAGCTTTGTGTGATACCCAAGAATAAAGACAAGAGGAAAATGCTTTCTTCCTGTTTGTTTATTCATTATGGAAACATTCAGTTTGTACACACCCCATCGGTAAAGTCTCTTAAATGACCGTCGTTCACTGATTTAATGTACCGGTACATTTTCCCTTTGTCCACACAGGCAATTCACCAGATCCCCAGCATTGTAAAAGACAATAATGAACAATCTCTTTAGGATTATGATTATTACAGTTTTTAATACCTTATAACAAAGACTACAACACCATTGATCTACCTGAAAATACAGTAAATGTTAAAGTAATTAAGGATTCCTTTACAAAGATCAAAATATGTACAATAAAGGAAGTTATGGTGCTTTCTTTCTTATGACCCAGAATGAAACACACTCTCTTAAATGACTTGTCTATTTGGGTTTACAGAACTCGGCAGTGTCCCCATAAGAGAAGTAAAGCCAAAGCCCAGCATAGAGAGGCTGAGTGAATGTGGTCTGGACTGTGTGGAGGAGAGTCATGGTGTGTGGTGAGATGCTGTAGAAGGCCAGAATACCTGCACTGTGATCCAGATACACTCCTACTCTGGACGACCAAGGGCCTGAGACGGGGGTTTGGACATTGTTGTACCAAAAGTTATAGCTGTTATTGTTATATCTTAATGCCCAGGATTTGCTATTGAGTCCAAATCCACTGTCCTTCCAGGTCCCTGTTCTGCTTATATTCTTATATGCGATTGCTATATTACCTCCTGACCCTCTCAACTCCACCTCCCAGTAACAACGTCCAATCAGACTCTCTCTACTAAGGACTTGCAAACATTCGGTGAACATATATGGGTGACTAGAAAAGGACTGTTGTTGTGCCATTACTGTTGCTTTTCTGTTGCCCTCAGATAATAACAGGCGTGTGTTTGCTGTGTTTGAATCCATTGCAATTTGCCTTGAACACATCAAGAAATCAGTTCTGGTCTTTGGCTGAGGTTTTGTCAGTAAAACATCTACCCTACTCACTGTCAGTAAGACGTCGGCCCAATTCTTTCTCAGAACGTCTTGAAGTTTATCTCTGACTGCTGCCACAGCCGCTGTCCCATCTTCAAAGTAACGCAGAGGGCGGATGTTGATGCTGGATGAGTCTGCAGATTCAGTGGGTTGTGACAGTGAAGGGTATTTGTGAAGAAACTCAATGTGATCCTCTGTGTGTGAGAGCTGATTCAGGTCAGCGTCTTTCCTCTGCAGCTCAGCGATCTCATGCTCTAGCTTCTCCTGAAGCTCTTTGACTCGACTCACCTCAGATTCCTGCTGGGATCTGACCTGCTGCTTCACATCAGAGCTTCTCTTCTCCATGACACGGATCAGCTCAGAGAAGATCTCCTCACGGTCCTCCACTGCTTTATCAGCAGAGCGATTGATGGCCTCCGCCTCCTGCTGAAGCAGCTTCACCTCCTTCTCTCTGTCCTGGATTCTCTGCTGGATGTTTTGTCGACTCCCCTCCAGTTCTTTGTGTTTCTCTGTCCTTTCTCCTGTAGCCGACACTGTGTCGTGGCCTTTGTGTTCGTCCACAGAGCAGAGATAACAGATACACTGCTGATCGGTGCGGCAGAACATCTTCATCACCTCGTCGTGACGAGAGCAGATGTTCTCCTGAAGACTCCTGGAGGGCTCCACCAGCTTGTGTTTCTCAAATTTGGGTGAATCATAATGAGGCTGGAGGTGTTTCTCGCAGTAAGAGGCCAGACACACCAGACAGGACTTGAGAGCTTTCAGTTTTCTCCCAGAGCAGAAATCACATGCTTCGTCTTCAGGTCCAGCAAAGCAGAGATCAGCAGGAGCAGGTGGGGGTCCAGTCTTCTTCAGCTCCTCTACTAAAGCTGCTAACATGGTGTTTTTCAACAGGACTGGCCTTGGTGTAAAGGCCTGCTTACACTGAGGGCAGCTGTGGGGTTTCTTTCCATCCTCTTCATCCCAATAGCTTTGAATACAGTTCATGCAGTAGCTGTGTCCACAGGGAATAGCCACTGGGTCCTTTAGTAGATCCAAACAGATCGAACAAGAGAAGGTTTCACGGTCCAGCTCAAACCCTTTCTGCGCCATTTCACCTCTCAGCGACAACTGACTCAGTTTCAATTCCTGAGAAACTGAACAAGATTCAGCGTTGATCTGAATAACCTTTGTGTCTGCAGCTTTTGCTCTTCACTCTGTTGGTTAAACCCATCTTCAAACTGTAGATCTAAAGGGGAGGGAACAGGGGAATATATGAGCAGGAAGAACAGGGAGGGGTTATCAAGCCATGATTCATTCCAGGAAGAGGAGCAGTTCAAGAGCGATACTGTGCGTTCAACACTTGTTTACAATAGAGCTCATTTGTAATTTGAAACACTGGTCACTTTATCTTTAAGATGACAAACTCTTGGAATCAGACGGCAAATAGATGGCTCCCCAGTTTGAAATTTAACTGATTGATTATGTAATCCAGTTTAAAACTTTCTGTTTATTAAATAAAACTCAAATATGTACTGCAGATGTAATACAACATACGAATCATCAGATATACTAATTATAAATCTTCATAATATAGACCCTCCAAGGGCTATCCTCCCATTTATTCCCCTTTACTTCGTTTTTTGACTAGGTTATTGTGTATGGTAACAATGCATGTTTTATTACAGACATACATGGTTGTCACCATGTTCTGTTGTTTCAAATGTTTGTAGCCTTATTTGGGAACTTGATTTGTGCTAAAAAGGGTTATTATTTCTCTGTTTTCTAAGGCAAATCTTAATCTGTATATTATTTAGTGTAGCAAAAGGTAAAAATAAAGCAGTATAGAAAGTACAGTAGGCTATATTCCACCACGTTATACAATCATTTACAGTATAGTATATGCATATCTCTATGTATACGGGTTATTTAGACTTTAAGAGATTCTAAACAAAACAAAAAAGTGCGTATTTAGAGTCTGAAGACTCTGAACAAAAGTGGCGACAGATAACCCACAAGTACCTATTTTGTGCAAACTTTGTGAGCATAATTACCGTAAATTACATAATATTGGTCAGAGTCATCAGCATGGGGTGAGGTTGCTGCTTTGTGCTGCGCCTTGCATCATAGACAGAGTCAACGGGAGCAGGCTGGCACAGTCTACTGTACACCGAGAAGTTCACACACTATCAAGAATTGTTTAAAAGGTCGCCGAAACAACTAGCAATCCATGCACTAAACCGGAAGGATTTGACAAGCTAAGTCAAACACTTATTTCCCGAACAGGCAGCTTCAGAAACAAACAGAGCGAGGAGCACTGAGCAGAAGGTGAGGCTTGTTGTGACTGGAGATATGAATACGGACATCGAGGAGCAGGAAGACGAACTGCTCGCCCTGGAGAGTATTTTTGATTCGGAGGAGTTTGTCCGAAATGAGTCGAAGTTTGCCGGAGAAATCCGAGCGTGTGTTGAGCTGTCTGCAGGCTTCAACGTGCTTTTGAAAGAAGGTAAATAAACCAGCTTGAAAAATGTGATGTTGTTGATATAAATAGAAGGGTGTGTGGGTTATAAAATGAACATTTTGTAAAAATTAGATCCGTCAATTAGCTTTAAATTGGAAATACATGAGACACGTTATAATTGAAAAATACTGTATATCTTACAGTAGGATAGTCCATGTGTATATGACCATGTATTATATCATCCAAGCAATGTTACTTATAAGCAGAGGTGGAAGAAATACTCAGGTCTTGAGTAAAAGGAGAAGTACCAGAGTGTAGGAATACTCTGTTACAAGTTAAAGTTGTTTGTTTGATATGTTACTCATGTAAAAGTACTAAAGTATTGTCATCAAAATATACTTAAAGTGCCAAAAGTAAAAGTTTCAGAATAATATATATCATGTGTTTTGATTATAATTATTGATGCATTAATCTGTTATCAAAGCTGGTAAAGGTGCAGCTAGCTTTAATTACTTTGTAGGCTATACTGCAGGGTAGCTTATGAATTTACTCCAGGTCTCACTAAAGTCCTATTTAAGTTTTTATATTTCACATTATTAATCTAAATCTCTAAAGTAACTAAAGGCAGTGTAGATGTAGTGGATTAAAAGTACACAATTAACCTCTGAATTGTAGTGGGGGTAGAAGTACAAAGTAGCAAAAAAAATGTAAATACTCAAGTAAAGCACAAGTATCTTTAAATGTTACTTAAGTACAATGCTTCAGTAAATGTAACTTGGACCACACATTTACTGAATTGTTAAAGTGTGTAATGCACTTTGGTCATGTGATCTTATTGTTTTTTCCAAAGGAGATACGCTGAGGCAGTATGAAATATTGTTCCTTCCACCTGTGCTGCTGACCTTTGAACTCCCTGAGGACTACCCATCCTGCTGCCCCCCCTCCTTCACCCTCTCTTGCAGCTGGCTGACACACACTCAGGTAATCAGTGCAAGCCATGTGGGTCAATTAAAACTGTATTGATCACATTACCAACCTGCCAGACAGAAAGAGATGACTGCAGATTACAAAGTGCCAACAAAGATTACATCAGTCAATTTGCCCTCATCTCCCACAGCTCTCTGCAGTCTCTGATCAGCTGACTGACCTCTACCAGGCCACTGGAGGCGCTGTGGTGCTCTTCTCCTGGGTGCAGTTTCTTAAAGAAGATGCTCTCAAGTTCCTGGACATCCATACCCTGCTGGAGCTCCCCTCTGAAGAACACAGCCTGCAGGAACCATCACATGCTGCAGTCTTGGAACCAAAGAACAATCAATCCAATCCAAAGTCAGAACCCACAGTTTGTAATGTGTCAGATTTATGTAAACCAGACCTTTCTGCACGATCCTTGGAAGAGGAGAATCCAAGAGTGTTCCTTACAGATGGCCATGACCACTCTAACCAAATATCTTCAGATGCTAGTGAGGCTAAACAGACCTCAGAGTTTATGGCTGACCACCAGAATGATCTGTCCTCAGCCGCAGGCAAGTTGAAACATGGCCAGGAAGAGTTCTTAAATGATGGGGATGTTTCAGCCTCATTACTACTTCCATCCAGCTCCTCAGACCCACTGGATCAAAGTGAACAAGGAGCTGCTTCTTTGCCACCCCACTCCTCAGAATCCTCTCGGAATGAAGACCAAACGCTCTCTGGCCTCTCGCTTACTCCGTCACAAGCTCTCCTCTCCCAGCTCTTGATCCATAATGCGGCTAAGAAACAGAAAATGTTTGCCACCACCGTGTTTGACTGTGGTGTGTGTTTTGAGGGCTGGCTTGGTTCGGACTGTGTGCAGCTGCCGGAATGTGGCCACATTTTCTGCCGGGCCTGTCTCGGCAAGTTCTGCAAGCTCCAGATAAAAGAGGGGAACGTCCGAGGGGTCACCTGTCCTGATGCTGACTGCCCTGCCACCCCCACACCTGCACTGGTACAGATCCGTCCATCTGTCCCTTCTGCCAACCTCAGCGCTTTCTTCTGTTTAGCTTCTTCTGGAAGCTAAGACCTGTGCTCAAACTGTGCAAAAAGAAGTATTTGGATATTTTACCTGAGTAAAGGTAGCAATACTACAATGTTCATACTCTGTTATGAGTGAACATCAAGCATTCAATATGTTACTGAATCTAAGTAAAAGTACAGGAATATTACTTAAATTCTCCTTGATTTATATAGATATATAATTTATATAATAACTTAATTTTTGTTTATATTACGTTATACTATTATTGATCAATATTTAAGTAACCTTTAATACTGTAGATGTTTGGGCTGAAGAGTAGCTTACTAAAAGGGTTTTGTTTTAAATAGTTAATAACTATTTAATTATAGCTATTCAAATAATGTAGTGGAGTAAAACATTTTTTTAAATACAGTTTATGCAGATATACCAACCAAAAATCGAATTATCCTGAATAAGCTTATATCAGCTAATAATTGGTACAGGTCAACAAAAGCACACTAATATTTATTAGTTTGCATTTTGATTCAGATTTACGGACTTCTATGACACACATTTTTTCTCCTTCTACTGTCCTTATGCTGTAGGTGAGGAGTCTGGTAGGGGAGGAGCAGTTTGACCGCTACGATCGTCTCCTTCTACAGTCAACGCTGGACCGCATGGGTGGTGTGTACCATTATAACACTTAAATGGGAAATCTCATTGAGAAAAATGTATGAACATTTATTGATTGTTATATTCTAAATTACTTCCCCTATTGCACTGTTATCAGACCCATATTACAAAATAATACACCCCTATTACACCATTATGGCACCCACATTACACCATAATTACACTGTTATAACACCCCTAATATACTCATGTAACACCAATATAGTCATATGAGTCAGCCTGTCAAATGACTATCCCCCATTATACAGAAACCATTTAAGGGTAAGCATGGGATGTTCAGCTGCTATTCTCGAGCCAGTTGTTAAACGAGACACATAAATATCCAGACAGAAATAATATTTTTAGCACCTTAATATAAATTAAAAGAAATCTGTGGGTTCATGGATTAGTGCTTTTTTCCTCCTCCTCTTCACCTAGATGTGGTGTACTGTCCTCGGACTTCCTGTGGCTCGGCCGTCATTGTGGAGAAGTCCAGCCGTGCCGCCCAGTGCTCTGTGTGCAGCTTTGCCTTCTGCGTCAGCTGCAGGAAGACCTACCATGGAACAGAAGAGTGCCGGGCGAAGAAGAGCACGAAAACACAGGAAATACAGCTGGGCATTGCAAACCTGCCACAGTCACAAGGTACACAAGCAGACGTATGTGTAACATGTTAGCTTATAATTTGTAAAGTATCTGAAAACCTAAAGCTTTTAAATAATATAATATCTATTGAAGTAAAATGTTATTTATTTTCCTTTCAAATGTAATGCAGTAGATGTTTTTAGTGGCATGAAAAGGAAATACTTTAAATATAAGGACAAGCAATATCAGCTGATCAAAACATTTTTACGTTTACATTAAAGGTCCCATGTCATGGCCAGTCTACTAGAATATATTTACATTGTGCAATTTTCCAAACTCACATTGGTTTCTCATACAGCATCTTTGTATAGTATGTGATTCCTTCAAACTCATTATCCTGAGACGACCTAGAATGTTTTCTCTTTCCATTATCACATAACTTTATATTACTATTTAAACTATTTTATAGTGTTATATTTATTATTTTCACTTTCTTGTCATCACATGTGTATTGTTTTAGTATCATCATTTAAGTATGTGGATAAGCACCTCCAAATGTTTTTAATTAGGTTATTCTATTCAAATATGTCTGCCTTTTATAAGACCATTTCTGTATTATATTTTCACCTTATTATTTGGTATTTCGTGATTGAAATATGCCTTATTATGAGATAATTTTTCTTATTATACAAGAACTTGTTTTTTATTTGCACTTGCCCCTTATAATATATAATATCATGTTGCTTCATATGATGTTCTCTCATGTTCCTAATTATGTATGTCATACAGGGGGGTTTAAATGGCTTTTTTTATGTTTTAAATGGTATGTTGTTCTGTACAGTTTTTAGAAGAAAAGAAGAAACACCTAAAATGCTAACTAAATATAGTTATTATTTTATTTATCTTTACAAGCTCAAATGTGTAATTAAGTACAGTAATTGAGTAGACGTAATTAGACAAATTCCACCTCTGATTTGTGTGTATTGTGTTGTGTCTGGATGTGTATCTAAGGTCATGGTCTGTGTTTCTGTGTGTCTGCAGAGGGGCTGATGGCTCTGTGGGACGACTATGCCAGCGGCAGTAAGCAGAGGCAGCGCCTCCTGGAGAACAGATACGGCCGCAAAATAATGAGGGAAACTGTGGAGGACTGTCTGAGTGAAGACTGGATAGTCTTTAACAGCAAGAACTGTCCTCACTGCTTCTGCAGAATACAGGTATCCAGATACTGTGTTCACCTATTACAGAAGTCCTGCTGTCTGGCTTTGATTGCACGTGAACTCATGAGTGCAGATGATCAATTGTTTACAGATAATAATTGTATTACAGTGTACATTTCTGACTGTGTACTGTATGTGTTAACACATATCTTATTGTGTTCTGTGTTGTAGAAGAACAGAGGATGTAATATGATGACGTGCTCAAAGTGCTTGAATAGATTCTGCTGGGCCTGCCTCGACAGACTGCAAACAGGTGCAAACCAACACTTTGTGGACAGTGGCTGCGCCGTTGACTACAGAGAGTTCTGACCCAGTGCTCCTTCACTGCCAGAGGGATGCAACCCATGGTACGCTGTGTTTATTTACCCAGGTGTATCCCATTGAGATCATTTATCTATTTTTCAAGGGAGACCTGTACTTTAATAAATAGTTGATCATTCACATACATGATGATTTTCAAATAGGGCAAACAATTACAAAAATGTGTGTGGCCAGGAATGTTTTTGTGAATCTGTCAGTATTGGAAAAATTACTCAAGAATCATGGTGTTAAAATTACGTAGAAGTACCTATTGCGCAGAATAACCCAATTCAGATGAAATTCTTGATCAAATGTACTATTATCTGTATAAAAAAAACAATATAGTCTATATGGGCCAACAAATTAATTGATTGTTAATTCATACAAAAAAGTGAAACATTTCTCTTATAATGAATACAATTAATTAATATAACTAATTTGAAACCATTCACAAAAATCAGACCTCTCTCTTACTGTGTCTGACCAACAGAGGATGCTAAATAACCACAATGCAATGGCAACAACATCAACAGCAGCTTGAGCACATTTTAACTTTGCTCTACACAATATTCCTATTGTTTCATCTGTAAAATGCAGCTTTCTTAAAAACATGCTTAATCATTATGTATTTAATAATAAACCAACATTACATTGCTGCATGCATGTTTGCAGCTCTGAAATCAAATATGAATATTCTAAGAAAGGAAATCGGTTAGTGGGCTTTTTAAAAAGAAAAAGAAAATCAGAGTTAATTCAAAAACATAATTTCTTCCCCAGTTATAATTATTGAACGTAGTGGTTATGCAACATCTTTCATCTTTCTACCAAATATTTTCTTCAATAACTGATTATGTGTTTCCTGAGCCTGTGGTGACGCTTTTGAATGTCTTGTTTTGTTGGAACAACAGTCCAAAATCCAAACATATTCTCTCTGCTATCATATCACACTAAGAAAGTATACTTTCACATTTAACCAGTAATATACGGCTTCAAATAAATACTTTGACAATGAAGTATTGAAATTGTTGCAGTTTACTTTTCTCTGAATTAACTATTAATCAAGCAAGTATTAGAGCTGGATTTTTGTTTTATCAATTATTGTATACATCTTACTTCTTATGTAATTAATTGTTTTACAAGGGTTTAAGCTATGCATTTACATTACTGCTATAATCTAATGAAGAGACAAAAGTTTGTTTGTTATTTTCCATAGATGTGCCTGTCAATAGCTGACACACAAAATGATAATGCACCTTTGCACTTTGTATGCATGGATCTGCTTGATAGAAAATACTCTATTATTATTATTATTATTATTTTAAGCATATTGTTTATTTTATTATAACTTAGTACTTTTTTAGCATATTGTTTATTATATTATAACTTAGTACTTTTTTAACGCATGTTCTTACATGCGTTAAAAAAGTACTAAGTTATAATATAATAAACAATATGCTAAAAAAGTACTAAGTTATAATAAAATAAACAATATGCTTAAAATAATAATAATNGTGTGCCTTGGCAGTCTCAGTTGTGTTAGATTACCATTTGTCTTACAGATCTCCTGAAAGCCACGACTGATATTAAATATATATGTATTTGAATAAGAAACATTACTTAACTAAAGTTAAACACATAACTGGTTTTGGCTTTGATACCAAAGCAGCCAAGCTGAACATGTGGAAACAGATCGCCAGACAGTGTCTCCAAACAATAACAAAAATGATTTTGACTCCTTTTTCAGGGAGAGCAGCAATGAAGCGGCCCCAAGAAGGAACAGGAAAGATGGCAGTGAGTACAGACTGGTGAAGAACCGCCGCAGCCCACAGCTACCTGCTTCTATGCCGGGTAAAATATTAAACATTTATGAATAAGAGTCTTAATAACAAAAACACTAGATGCACATTTCTGCTTATATTTCCATTGGGACTGTCAAACAATGACTCACACACCCCAACACACACACACACACACACACACACACACACACACACACACACACACACACACACACACACACACACACACACACACACACGTTATATTCCATAGACACATATTGCTAGGTGTCTAATACAAAGTGAAATAGAAGTCCATAGTGTCATTAAAAACATTTTTTATTTGTAACTTTATTGGCTTATTTAAACGTGCCAACAGTTCTTTTTAAGGGCCTTTGAAGGCAGCATTACTAGAAGAAGAAAAATGCAAGGATCAATGTTCTTTTCTACCCAATGTGTTTGTCATTTTCTTTATTTGTTACCCATTTCAGGGCGCCCAGACTTATTTAGTTTTAGGAAAGCTGACACAAAGCTGCCCCACTCTATATCACTATGGTTGCTTGTGTGAGTGTCTGCTTTCGCCTTTCACACGCACACATACTGGCGCTCTGTGTGTGTGTTTGTGTAAACAGATACAGAGTAGAAAAGGTCAAACTTTCTGCTGACGTCAAACAACTCTTGCTTTCTTGCAGAAGTTTGCTATGTCTCTGTATCTTTCCGGGGACAAAAACAAGTAGCACTCAGCTCAAAATAAAGCAGGAATAAGTCATACAAGTAAAGCCAATTTCCTTCATCTCTGTCCCACTCTCTCTTTCTCTCTCTCTCTCTCTCTCTCTCACACACACACACACACACACACACACACACACACACACACACACACACACACACACACACACACACACACACACACACACACACACACACACACACATATAAACCACAACGTTCTGATGGTTTAATACATTTTTCTTGATGGACAAATCCCAAAAGAGCTGCACTCACTCTCGCAGTCTTTTTATCTTTCTCTATCTGCTTCTCGTTTTTCTGCTGTGTAACACACACACAAATCAACACACGCTGTATTCCCAGTTGTATCTTTATCACACATTGGTGATGTATCAGGTTATAAATAAGTCTATGATGCTGGTCTTTACATGCAAAATCAATTGTGGCTTATTTGTGGGTACCCAGCGTATTATTTGCTGTGGAAAACATCTAATTTGTACTTAAAACTGTTGTGGATAAATCAACTGTAACATGAATTTAATTGTCGTTTGATTGTCTTTCATTAATGTCTCTTATTATGCAACATTACTAAAAGTATACAGCCATGGGAGCGGCTCAGTGAGGCTGTACATACGCCCAGCGGGGGTTTGTGCTAAATGCTAACATCAGCATGCTCACAGTATTACAGTAACATGCTGAGGTGAAGCAGGCATCACTTTGAGCATGTTTGCCAACTCAGTACTCTATCATTTGCACTAAACACAAAGCTGATGGAAATGTCATTCGTTTTGAAGATATTTTATCATAAAATCTGAATTTCATGTTAAATCATCCAATAGTTGTGAAGAGATTTCCACTCAAAGCAGAGTCCTTTGGATTCATTGTCTGGGAACCATGGAAGTCTGTTCCACGTTCGTTGTATGGCATCCCATCCAACAGTTGTTGATTTAACATCAAAGCATCTGGATCAAAGTGGTGGACTTACTGGCTGACTATCTCCGTTGTGTGATTGTAAGCCAACTTTCTTTGGGCTTAGAACTGCTTACTGGAGGAAAAATAAAATGTAAGACTTAAGATTCTAGTCAAGTCATATTTAAATGTTTCAAAATGTTCTGACATTCTTTCTTAACTAATTCATTAATGGATTAATAAGATCACAAAGATAACTGATATCTTCCAGCTGCCATGATACAGAAGATACATCGGAATAAGCCACTTAATGTGTACATAATCTATTTATTTATATTATTTATATAAATAGTTATCACCACAATAAACCGTATTTAACTTTGTCTTAATGTACATTATTTAATTTCGTATTCTGTTCTTGTACATATCATATTCTATTGACATGTATATAGACTTCTTGCATTATTTTGTATTGCTTATTTTTGTATTTTATTATATATGTTGCGTTGTTGGAGGAGCTCAGTTCAGAATAATTTCATTGCCATTTCTACACTGTAGCTTATGTGCATATGACAATAAAAACCTTTGAATTTGAACATACTGTACAATTACTGTACTTATTGTCCGTCTCTGTTTTTACCTCCAGGGCCGTACTACAACCCGAGACCGAGGCAGCGCATCCCCAGGGACTTGGCCATGTGCGTGACTCCCAGCGGACAGTTCTACTGCTCCATGTGTAACTGCGGAGCCGAGCAGGAGCCCGACTTCAGGCAGCATCTTGAGAGCAAGCAGCACAAAGCAAAAGTGTCGGAGCTAAGATACCGCCACGAGATGGAGAACCTCGGCTACAGCTAAGAGACACAAGAGGAGAGTGTTCGGGGAGATAACAGAAAGAGAGTAGATTGACAGAGAATAAGTGGGAGACAAAAAGAGAAGACCAGGAGGGCAAATACTTCCCTCTGTTAAAGGGGAACATTCAGAGAAGAGATTAGCACACATGGCCTCAAGATCTTGTTGCAATTCATTTGATACGCTTAAATCCTCATATTTAGCATAATGCTCCTCAATATGAAGCTTCAATGAGATTTGATGGATTTATTTGATCCAGGTGTTACTCTTGAAATTATGTCTGTATATTGAGGCTTGTAACATGTTTGCAGATAACAGACATGTAAAAACGAATACAGATGTTCGATGTACAATTCATTTATTTAGGCTCTGAGTCAGATACAGTTTGAGACACTCCACTCTGTCTCAGTCTCCTCTGAGGCTTTGAGTGGGTTGCATTGTGACTCAGGATGCAGGTAAATGCAAATGGATTGCAATTAAATCTTGAGCTTGATCAGGCTGCAGGAAAAGGACTAGTGGTGCACAGAAAGCCAACATCCCAGGAGAGGAGGCACATTTGGTACATGCACAGGGTTAAAGCATTTGAAAAGAATGCAACATGTGGAAAATAGCAAGAAACTGTTTGGTAGACTGTTTTGGTACTTGAAGAATTGAAAAAAACACACACGTGGTCAGACACGTGTCCTCGTTGGGATAACAATCAACGCTGAGGACAAAGTTTGAGCCCTACAGGTATTTTTTACAGGCCCTACAGAAGGGTCTTCAGGGCCACTTATAGTGACCACTATAAGCCACAAATTCAACATCTTTTTAACCTGACACAGGTTATAAATCCAAAGCTAATTCATAAAAAAGCAAAGCACAACAAACAACATCCTCTGTTATAAACAGTGTTACATGAATCTATAGCCGTAGCCGACTTGTTAGCGGTTTTCTGGCGTGTTTCAGGCTGGAGGCTACATCCTGGCTAGCCTTGTTTGTGCCTTTAGTGAGAATTAGGCTAAAGAGTAAACTTTGGCTAGCCATTTTGACATATAGTGGAAACCAATCAATGCAACTGATTGGATTTTTCTATTATCTGTGTCGCCTCTTTTATTATGATAAATCCACATTATGTAAATATTCTCAAATGACATTAAAGATGTACATTTAGGATAATATACATGAATATTATTTAATCCTTTGGTTAATGTTAGCCTAGAATACATTGTAAATACTCATCTATCTCATTTAATTATGATCAGGATCTTGTGTGCACTGACTGAATGTCTCTCAGCACTGTTTGTGTGTGGATGTTACTGTAGGCCCTTTATAGCACTTTGAGCGATGTCCTTGTTCATTGCTAAAGTACCATCCGTCTCATTAAAAGCTGCTAGTCTCATCATTGTGACTGTGCCGGAGGACGGCATGAGAGGAGAAGCTGTCTCTGAAGCGTCTTTTGAGGCAGGGTTCAAGCTTTATCTCTTTCTAGTCAACTCAGCCAAACCGGCATTGTGATAGGAAGAAATGTGACAATAGATTGGGAGTGATGCAGAGAGCTGAACGCATTTGACTTAACTTTTAATTAGATTGCTAATGAACATGTTGAAGAGCTCATGGATATTTTGGAATGTAAGACACTCCATTTAATTCTCCCAACCAATCGCAATTCCCACAGGGGACATTAACATATTTTAATGCAGTGTGACGGGGCTGCAGACAACTCACATGGATTTTATCTGAATTTTTGTAATGTTTTCTGTTGTTTTTATAACTGACCCAGGTAGAGATGCTTTTTTCAGTATTCAATCCATCCTGAAAACATCAATTGTGTAATCGGAATCAAATTAGATTTTCTCTTTCTGTTTATTCGATTATCTGTTCCAGCTCAGTAGTGCTGAGCTGAACACAGCGCTGTCACAAAGTATTTGGAGCAACTCTATAGTAGTCAATGTAAACAAAAATCTACATTTTTATTGTTTGAAACACTGAATGTGACTTTTAAAGTGTTGTTTATATATTGATCATTAGTTCTTTAATTCTTTAGATTGAAATAATGAGTGTATTTATGGCTCAAGTAATCATTTACAGTATCACCAGTAGATGTTTGGATTGCAACATGTGTCACACATACTGTATACAAGAATAGATTACTGTAGTTCAAAGGTGAAACAGCTTCCCTTTAAATGTGCTTTTCTAACTTTCCACGCACACGTGCACACCCAGTCAAAAGCCTGATCGGGTCACATCAGCAGTGGTATAATGTGAAAGGAAAGCAATTTCCTGGTTTGGTTATTTGCAGGGAGAGGCAGCTGTTCACATCTTTCATTTGACTCTGGGGCACAGAAACACCTGATCACACAGATGAGGACGCTCAGGAGAAAAGCACTGTGAGGATATTAACATGTGAGAGAGTTGGAGTGACTAACAGAGCATAGAAAACTAAATGTGAGGCTGTTTTCACTGTGCCGTGTATTTTGAAAAAGAAGAAAAAGAACAAAGATGAGCTGATGAAAGCAGAGCTGAAGTGAAAGCTGTGGGCGAGACACAGGGAGTCGAGGAGTTCTTCAGTTGCTGTCTGTTAATAGCTCTCCTTCTCCTAGAAATAACATGCTTTGTCTTACATGAAAGAATGGATAGCATAACCTTTTATTATGTTGACAGGCTCACACTCCAATGCAGAAGCTGAACACTTTCAGCAAAAGCATAGAGACATGGGGAAAGTGTAGAAAGCTATCAAACTAAAGAGCCTTAAGATCCTATGAGATAACACAGTAGTCAATGGTTTCATGTATTTTGACTCTCTAAACCAGTGGTTCCCTAACCTTTTGGCTCAGGACCCCTTTAAATATCTACTTGATATTCACAGGTAATCGCCTTAGTGTGGAAAACCAAAGCTAGAATTATTCCCATCAGATTGTTTCTGTGAACAAGACATTGAAAATGTTAGGAGAGTCTTCACAGCTGAAAGCAAGTTTTTCATTATAAGATAAACTTGTCCATCTTGTAGAGGAACACTGTTTAAAATCTTTATTGTACTCACATGTTGGATATTTCTTTATAAAATACAATTTTGATTCATCAAATTATCTAATGGAGACAAGGTCCCAGGAACAACACCGGGTTCTGTCCAAAATTTGATAATGATATCACATGATACCATTGGCCCAAAACATATATTTTCCATCATTGGGAAAAAGACATCTGTAAATCAGTATAATAAGATTTTCTTGCGGGAAATGCGTTTCAACTTGAATTATATTCCTTCTTTTGCTCATGTGAATGAACCCAACTGGAGCAGATAAAAGATCAATTGTCCTCCAATATATTAGTCAGAACACTAAAGGAAGCCACAACAGGATTGACCCGAAAATAAAGGAGTTATGACAATTAACACAACACTCAACTATTTTCAGTTAAATTCCATTCTACCTTTATTGTTTTTTATTGGTTGCACAAAGGTTTTAAGCAGTCAAAAGCCAATAAAATCAATAAATTACTGTGGCAAATGAAGTCATCTTCATTGAACTTGATATGTTAACAGGTTTAATATTTTGGCAATCGGTTATTTTATATGCTCACTGTTGCTGAAATAGATTAGATTTGCATTCATGCTTCTAGAAAGACTGTTTGGATGTTGTTTGGACTGGTAATACGCTAACATATTGAGGTTTCTGTTTGTTTTGTTCCAACTGTGTTTGCTTTTTAGAGACTGTAAGAGCTGGTTAACATAATATTAAGAACATAATTAGTTTTACTCTTCAACTATCAAAATCCTGGTGTATTTCAGCACCATAGGCTGAATTCCAGTCCTCTGTTGTGAAACACAGCGGTAATACATATCGCAGAGTATACATTGTATCTGGTTTATTTTGTGCATGAGTAAATTCATACTTAATAACTGTTGAGATGTTTTAACTGGAGAGGATGCTGTTCAATAATGACCGGCTGGAAATATCTGCGTTGTGCTTAATCTACAAAAGGGCAATGGAAAGATGATTTTGCACTGAATTTAAAAGACATTTATAAAGATGAATATATTGTTGTTATTTCAAGTGAATATTTGCTACCATTGTCATCATTTGCCTCTCAACAATTTGTATCCTAATGTTTACAAGATGAGAATTTGAAACTGTAATGGATGTGTATCATATTTGTAATTGTGTGTGTTTATCCATTGGTTGCACGGTTGCACTGATCATACGGGCCACTGTGAGGTTATATCGGAAAAAGGTACTATAATCTGTAATTTACAACCTAGTTTGGTACAAATTGTTATATAAAAGATATATCGGTCAACGAAATTAGACACCGCTGGTCTGGTTTTGACTTAACAAAGGGATGGTGATGGACCTTGAGTTGTTATAGACTATAACTGTGAGCCTATAGGGTTATAAAGCCCATAAGCTTAATGTGTATGACATGTATTGGGCAGCAGTTTCCAACACTTTGTAATTACAGTGACAAACAGTTGTCTGGAGAAGGTTGAATCCAAATTATTTGGTCATCACTTTTCCGTTGATCTGAAAGGCTTCTTCAGTCCATCTGTTGTGGATAATAGTGGTATCAGGTAACTATGCTAACCATGAGCGCAGGAAAATCCACTTTTACAATGAGGGAATGTAAGAGTCCTCGGTTACTATCACTCTTCAGCAACAATTAAAGCTGAAGAGGCTCTTTGGATGAACAGTGAAGTGTCTTCAATCAAAACTCTCGTCCAGTGTTTTGATTTTCTCCAGCCATCGTAGCATCAGGATTAGAACCATTGTTGAGAACAACTTGTGATAAAACAATATGTGTTGGATAGCAAGATTTGCAAAGTAGCATTTGTAGGCACAGTTTCAAATGTTGTGAAATACCTTTTGTCACTTTCTTGCTTTGAGTTTGATGAGGATTGACACCACTGCCATGTCTGCAAGTTGTGAAAGTATGGAGCTAAATCCAGGGGGTGGTTAGCTTAGCTTAGCTTAGCTTAGCATACTGGCTGAAACAGGTTCAAACAACTACCGTTTCAAATTTGCCCATTGGTCAATTTTGGTTTGGCAACAAATAATTGTGTTGCATCCTAAAAAGCATTTTCCATATGGTCACAATTATAAAAGAGATGTCTGTACAACTGTTGACATAACCAGGAAGTTCAACCTGAAGTTAGGAAAGCTTTTGGGCTCCAGCTCCATACATGCCTTCAGAGGGTGGGAGTGGTCTCTATCTCCTGCTCTACCGCTCCAAGAAAGTCAAAAGAACATTTCCCAAAATATTAAACTACTCTGTATATGTTGAATGTGCCTATTCACTTCTGCCGTAATAATTTCTAATGTTGTAACCCAATCACAACATATAGAAAATGTTATGCTTGCCTCACATGAAGCCAATGTTTCCTGGTGTTGTACATACATAGAATTCTACTGTCAGGGGCCCTAACACATCCTTCAAAGCGCCCACTGCAGGACACCATATGTTCCTGTACTCCTGTGAAAACCTCAGCACACTTTCAGTGCCTCTAAACAATGTTGCCAATATACCACTGACAGACTCGATGGATGCCTGGACGACTGATACTCTGATTTCTGCGGCTGTGTATGTGTGTGTGTTTTCTGAAGGATGAATAAACGAGCAGATAATAACACCCAAGCTGAGTTGATGATCATTACGGTGAATGTGTGTCTCGTGTGTTCTCTTCCATGGCTCAGATCTTACCGCTCCGGGGGAAATAACCACTCTGTTAGCGGATGCTGTTATTGGCTCACAGTGAGGAGACGCTCTCCATAGCCTAGTTTCCACTGCACTGATAGCCAGGCTGCTCTCGTTATTATGGATATTACTGACAACAAGAAAGCTGTTCCTGTGCCCCTAGTTTGTTTGTTCGCCTGTCAGCAGGATATTGCACAAACATTATTAACAGATTGCCTGCAATGTGGTGTACTGGCCTCAGGTTTTTCTTTGGACTTCCTGGATGGTTATTTATTTTGCAACCATAAAAATCAATACTTAAATTGGGCTAGTAGTCACATATTAAATATATTACACTACAGTAAACAGTGTTAGGGGAAACAAGTCTTTTCCAACAAAAATGCGCTGCTGCTGTTCCTGAGCAAGTGTACATTTTGAAAATCATTCACGCACATGATTAACTATTAATAGCCTACTTCATGGGGTATTTGCACTTTGATATTTATAAGTCATATGCACGATTCTTGTCCTGAAACACTGCAGGTGTATTGTTGAGGGTTCAGAATACACTACATGTTTTATTCAATGTTAAGCACCGAATGAAACTAATGTAGCAAATAAACAGAAATAAACATTGATGACTGTCAATCATACTTGTGTAAAAACATGTAGATCATTGACTGGCCTCACTTTCATTCAAACATCGATAAAAAACCTTCCTCTATAGTTGGATGAACAAACACATTGTTTATTGGTCTTTAGTTCTGTTTTTGAAATGTGTGCCAGTTATTCTTAAAAAATAATATTTCGTAAACTATCGAATAAAATCATTATCTACTAACTAAAACAGCTAAATGGAAAACAGACATTTTTGTTTTTGTTATACATTCATACAGAATAAATAATAAGGAAAAAAAGAACAATATAAAACATTAACAATACATTGATAAGCCACTGACTCATATTATGGAGGTTAGCAGTAAGGTGCAGGGGTGTCAAACTAAATTTCATCGCGGGCCACATTAACATTATGGTTGCACTCAAAGGGCCGGTTGTAACTTTAAGACTATACATATATTATATATATATATATAATGTATTATATTACATAATTGCAAATAATTGCAAGTCTCTTAATTGCACATGTCACAAAATGTGATGCATTGTGGGACATGTAGTGTATGGGCAACGTGCTTCTGTAAAGCGGCATGTAACTGTATAATTATATTCTTTGCAAGCTCTTGCGGGCCAGATAAAATGAAGTCGCGGCGGGCGTTGAGTTTGACACGCCTGGTCTAATAGATTTGTGTTCCTGAATCATTACTTAATCATCACCATCACTTATCATATCCTCTATTTGTCTAACAGAAGATTTAAAGTTGTTGGGTCATCATAACTGTTAAAAACTATACAAAATAAAGGGATTATGTGTTCTCCCAGGGCTGTGAAAATGTAAAGCAGAAAGATTTGAATGTGTTTAAAAGTGCAATCGTTGTTGCGACACAAACTCCCTATGAGTTATGCCGCTGAGAGGCTAATATATGGTCTTTGCTGTGACGCGTTCCATATAAGAGTTTGAAGTCATTTATAGTCCAGTGTTTAATAAAACGAAAACAAACAATATACAACTCCCGACCTGACGGTCAACAGAAAGTATCAGAGCGACATTCACCCTCTTCCTACATCATATCCTCCAAACCTAAATACCAATAAACCACACCCACGTGACCATTGCCGGAGGTGATAAACAATAAGAATTAAACGTGATGCAAACAGAAATTAAGATAATAATAGAAGTAATAAGTAATGGCAAAAAAGGGCATCATCATCATCATCAAGGCTGTCAAGGCCAGACGATGGTTCTGTGTTGACACTGGATTGCTCTATAGATTATGGCCATATAGTTGCTATTTTTGACAATCCCTGGCAAGGCCTTGAGCCTCATGGCCAGTCTTTGCTGCAACATTAAATGCTTTTGATAAATTATTGAACAAATCAGACTATTAGAGTATCTATATAATGAATATGCATTATGTATTAACTCCCGTTTTTGACTTCCACGTATCGTCACCTTTCAAGTTTATA